AGAAACCACCAATCAGAAGACTGTGTTTGTTTGCTTACTATAATCTATAATAATATGCATGAAAATATATGAATATGTGTTGATTTCCTTAATAGACGATCTGTTGACTGGCCCTTGTCTTCTGTTGTTACAGAATAAGTTCGTTTTTGATATTTTTTTCTGTCCCTTGAAGATTTTATAACGATCGAGCTGATTTCCTCGAAGTAGGGTCGATACTCCCATTTTCAATCTTCCCTCTTTTTCTATCTTTAGGACTGGCTAGTTGTTGCCATAATTATACTTTCTTCACTGCCTCAACTTACTTTTAAATGTACTATGTACTGGCCGGCCGGCCTGCCGTCCATTTAATCTTCAGTATTGAGCCAGCTAAGTGGGCAGCCGTTGATAAAATTCTGAAACTGGCTGTTGGAAATCCCTTTCGTGACACGCTGGTCAAGTTTCTGACCCGTATAGAAGAACTGACTGACTGACTTCACATTTGTGTTGAAAATCAGAAGTTTGTTCCTTATGCTGAGTGCAGTGCAAAAGATTTCCAAACTGCTTTCAGTTTGATGAAGGCGTATCTTGCTTGTCTTTCCGATTCTCGCTGGTGTTGACGTCTTCGTCCGTTCCACCTGTAGTCGAAACGATGCTAGCTGTCTAGATGAGTGAAGGCAGGAAGTAACCTGTGTTAAATCTCTCACGATGATGGTGACTGGTGCTGGTTGTTGTTGATGTTGGTTTGGTTATCTTCAGTTAGCTTTTTGGTTTTCGCCTGTAAATCTTAGAGTTTGTATGACATTAAACAGAAATCATCGACGCACAAAATCCAGATCTTCGAGAGTCTTCTTATCGGTGGTGGTCCAGCGTATTCCTGTCTTCTCGCTGCCTACTCGCACGCGTTCTGAAGCAAAATCCAGTCTGCCACCACAACTAGGAATATCATCGGTGATAACAGTTAGAGACAGTCTTGTCGTACTCTTGTATTCAGTTTGTAGGCTTTGCTGAATGCGTTTTCCGTTGTGTGGATCCACTAGACACTTAGCACTGTCATATAGCGTAACATAACAGTCGAACTTCTCGAAACACAATGTGAACTTTAAACATTTATTCCTGCTTTTATGAATCTGAACAACTTAATAGTTAGTTATCCTGTCTGTCTGTTTTCGACATAGAACTTTGCACTGATGTGCGGTAGTTCAAGTCGCCACACTCCCTCCTTGTAGCACGCAAAGCAAGAGAAGAAAGTAGGAGAAATGCATAATAGAGAGACAGTAAACAGAGGTGTGAGACAAAGGTATAGTAATAACGAAGAACAAAACAGTTTCATTGGAAATCATAAGTCACAAGGAGTGGATGCATCTGTGCCAGCCACTGAGAACGATTTTGAGCCATGTCACCAATTGTTTCCAACCATTGGTTTTTACCATCCCGAGGACCCCAACCAGTCAGGAAGTCTACACCTTCCTACGTGGCTGGCTTAGACTAACTGTTGTGGATTTCATTGACTGGTGCGATGTTTTCGTTTGACCGCCGCTAGCTCTTTTCCAGCCTGACCCTATATCAGCTAACATTGCCCGTCAGTCGAGGAAGGCGATGACTAGTTATGCACATCTTATATGCCTATATTAAGCAACTCCTTTTTCATTGCCTCTGAACATTCTAAAAAGAATGATTTATTTTTGTATTGTTTAAACTTGAACCTTCAATGTATAAGTTATGTAAATGCAATTTCTTAGCACCAATTATTAACTTTGGAGTCTCTTCTGTTGTATGAGATCATATCACCACCTTTTATATGTATGTGAATAAGATTTCTTTGTACATATAATAATTTGTGAAAATAATTATAATAATTCTAATCTCGTTGACTTAGAATATTCAGATGATATAGTCCTCCGTTCAAGGTGAAGATGCTGACAAAATTCAGTAGAGTCTTCTTCTGAACACCTTGAGCAGCAGCAATCTTCGAATGTTTAGCATGTGATTTGCTCCTGTCAAATATAATATATGATGCTACAGGACTGACCTACATCAATTTTTCCAGCTTAAATATAGGGAGTGAAGTGGTTGGTTGATGGAGCGTGTTGACCACTTCGCTTATTTGGGAAGTTGCATCAGCCAACGCCAGCGAGTTGATCGCTGATGAGGTTTCATTACGGATATAAAGAGGGGCTCGTTTGGCATATGCCCAACCAATGCCATCTCTGGCTTAGTAGACCGGTTATCGACCAAAGGACGTGTGTACTGCTCAGCAGTTCGTAACATCCTCCTTTATGGCTGTCAGTGAGACGTGTCCATTGAAAGTGGAAGATCTGAAAAGGCCCGCTAGCTGTCTTTGATCATAGGTGTCTGCGTTCTATCTTCCATGTTACGTGGTTTAATAAGGTGAGGAATATTGAGGTTAAGCATCGGTCGAGTGCTAGGTGGGTAGGGAGGGGAAATCAATCGACCAGGCTGTGAAGCTACATCGACTGAGATGGTTAGGACATGTGTTACGCATGCCTAGTCATCGCCTTCCTCGACTGACGAGCAATGTTAGCTGAATGACATAGGATTGATCAGGTTGGAAAAGACCTATGTACTACTGGTGATCAAACCAAAACATGACTTCACAAGCCAATGAAATCCGTAACAGTTAGTTTAAGCCAGTCACGTATGGAGGGAAGTGCAGACTTTCTGACTGGTTGGGGTCATCGGGATGTTAAAACCCAGTGGCTAGAGACTATTGGTGATATGGTTGGCTAAAAATCGTTTTCAATGGCTGGTGTAGATGCATCCACTCCTTGTGATCTATCATATCTAATAAAATTGTGTGGTTCTTCCATATTACTATTCGTTTTGCCTCACTCACACTTCTATTTATTATCTCCCTTTTGAGTCTCTCTTTTACTCTCTTCTCTTGCTTTTTATGCTACAATGAGGAAGTGTGACAACTCGAGTCGCTGCACTTAGCTGATGACAAGCTAACGAAATAAATTTCATTGGTACCATATAGTGTCTAATGTCAAGCAAACTCGATGACTTACGGTGAAAAAAACCAACAGGTCGACAGAAGAACCAGCGAAGACAGGACTTCCAATCAGCGCATAGATAGAAGACGGAGGTGATAAGGATACCTGAGCCACGACGACAACAACAACAGCAAACACCCATAACCATCAAAGGAGGAAAGAAATAGAAAGAAGGAAGTCACTTTTCTCACTTATCTACCTGCACAACATCGTTTCAACTGCAGGCCAACAGCATGTGATGAGGAGGTCAAAGCCAGTCATGATTGGAAAAGGCAAGACAGACCACCATAATTTTATCTGAAATCGATGTGGAAATCAACTGCACTCAATCAGAACAAGATTCAGATTTACAACACCATTGTTAAGTGAGTTAGTGCTTCTATATAATAGTTTAGAGAGTTGGGGCGCGCGCGTGTGTCGCTTAAAGCATTTCCAACAGGTCAGTGTAGACGTGTATCAACAGCTGTCTTCAAGCTAGCTAGCTAGCTAGCTCCATACTGTGAAGATCAGATGTCCAACCAAAAAAGGATTCGTAACAAGAGGAACTTTATGTAACTGAGTAAATGTACCGTGACAATCGAAAAGCGAGCGAATCAAGGTCCAACTCGACAATTATACATCTCATACGCAACGGTTGTACGACAATGCTGCATGCCAGGTAATCCACAACGGGAAACTTACAGAATCCTTTGAAGTAAAGACGGGAGTAGGGCAAGGCTCGATGGCTGCCTACTATCGCCGATGATTTTTCTGATTGCGGTAGATTGGATGATGCGACTGACAGACAGCCGGCCGAGCAACGAGGAGATAGGCATAAAATGGACCCTCACGTAAAACTTGGAGGATCTAGTCTTCGCGGATGATATACGTCTGATTTCCCACAAACTGGAAGATATGCAAGCGAAAAGCAACAAGTTGGCGATAGAAGAAGCATCAAAGACAGGACTTCACTTCAGGCAACATAGAGAAAATGGAGGTGATGAAGATTCCTGGCCAACACCAACAGCAGCAACAACAACAAACAACAATCAGCCAGCATAAATGGGAGGAACCTGAAAGAAGCAACCTCGTTTACCTACCTACCTAGGAAGCATCGTTTCGACTAAATGCAGAACTGATGAGGATATCAAAGCGAGGATCGGGAAAGCAAGGCAGGACTTCATTACTCTCAAGTCTGTGTGGAGGTTAACAGCCCTGAACATGAAAATAAAAATATGATCCGGATTTTCAACTCCAATGTGAAGTCAGTGCTACTTCATGGGCCAGAGACTTGGAGCGTCATAAAGAGCACCTCAAGCAAACAACAGACCTTCATCAACAGCTCCCTTCGCTCAATACTCAAGATTAAATGACCATCCAGAAAAGATCAGCAACAGAGATCTCTGGCAATGAGCGAATCAACGCAGCAGGAACCGATTGTGAAACAAATAAGCAAGAAGAAATGGAGTTGGATTGGCTGGCCATACTCTGAGGAAACCATCAAGTGACATCACTAACTATCCCTCGAGTGGAACCCGAAAGGGAAGAGGCGAGTTGGTCGTCAGTGCAAGGGTGACTTGGAGTTGAGGAGGTCATGTGAAGAGGAGATGAAGGCGTGTGGGCAGACTTGGAGCCAGGTGATGAAAACTTTAGCAGAGAACCGAAAGCCCTATGTTCCTCTAGGAATTAAAGGAAATAATAACAATAACAAGGAACAAGAACTTATCGCTAAATAAATATGCTCTTAAAAACAGGGAGGTGGACAGGACAAGCCATGAGTTGAAGAGATACCGGTGAATGACGACATCACACACACACACACACACAGAGCAGGCCATTGCTCTCGAGTATTACACCTGAATGGGAAACAGTGAGTTGAGCGTGCGGAGGCTATGCCGAGGAAATGAAACAGCCTTTAGGCAATGCAATCATGAAACCAACTGAAAAAAAGAGGACTGCACACAAACAAACGAAAAAAACGGAAAACATATCCAGCCTACTCATGAGTAGGCTGAAAAGAAAACCCACTTTTTTCTTTTTCCTTTAAACAATCATCTTTATTTTTATTTTAACCAGAGAGAGAAAAGGAGAAAGTAACCGAAAGACGTACAAATTAAAATTTTTTCTAAAAAAATGTGTAAATATTAGCCATAATGAAGACGAAAAGAAGAGGTAGAATACAGTACAGGACAGTCGAATAGAGTACAGGGGACAAATCAACAAAATATGTAATAATAGGTGGCGTAGGTGTATTATTATTATGGTGTTTAATAGGATCACGGACTGGCTCCTGCTGGTCTATCCATGCATGTATGTGTGTATTTATGTGCGTATGGGCGTGTTTCGCGCGTGTGTGTATGTGCATGTATGCGTATAGAAAAATGACGACTAATTGGAGCAAATGGATAGATAGATTGATAGATGGATGAATGGATTAATTATCACAGTGTTAAAAAAGATGTAAGAATATGATGGCGATGATGATGGGCTCATCGTCACATCAGCCTAGGATTATTAAATGAAAGATCATTCTGAGCCACGGATAATTAAGGTGGAGAGTTTGAAAAATAAGAGGGGCTTGTTGCTGTTGTTGTTGTTCTTGTTGTTTTTTCGTGGTCATCAATAATAAATAGTCTGTGAGTATCAATCAGATGGGGGTTAACTTTTACAATATATATTTATAGAAAAAAAGGAGGGATAGAATCAAATAACGAATGACAAATATTAGTATTATTAGTATTATTAATTTGACTAGTTAATATGGGGACTGGAGCAGAGATGGTGTAAGTGTGCGTGGTTGTGTGTGGGTGTTGATGTGAGTGTTGATGATGATGATGATCAAGGGTGGATGGATGGATGGATGTATTGATTTGATTTCAAGTGACAGGAGCATCTTTTGTATTTGATGTACAATCGAGACCAGAATTCATTGTAGGCATATTGAAATTCACACTGGCTTGTTGTATATCACCACCAGTAGCAGCACCGCCAGCAGCACCACTGTTGCCTACAACACTAGATGGTGGAACTTCAAGCAACTCTATACCTTGACGTACTTGTGTTAATGTTTGTTGCATCTATGATATATAAAAGAATGAATGAATGAAAATACAAACTAACTAACTAACTGACTAACGAAGAAACATGAGGATAAAGTGATGAATTTATTCCATGTGAATATATATATATATATATATATATATATATATATACATGAGCATAGTTTATTTGATACTTACTTACTTTTACTTTACTTCGGCTATCTCCTACGGGAGGATGAGCCGGCTTCATGAACATCTCGAATCATCGCTGCCCAGGCGCGGCCATGGTGAGAGTCGTTTGTAAGAGAGTTCATGAAGTTTCATGGGAATTTGGTACGAGTGATGTCCCCAGAATCGCTCGGCCTTTTGTTTGAGAGTGCAGCTCTAGCCTTTACACAACCAAGTGTGACCTACAAGGCAGTAGGAGTGGAGTAGGGAGTCCACTATCCATTGGCAGCCGGTGACCGGAGTTCGGTTCATACGCCTTTTTGAATGGGGCCAGACATCCAGGACATCCAACAAGCCCTTTGTCCATACGTCTGCCGGTGAGCTCCAGTGAGCTTCATACGCCAGTCGTTGGAGGTTTGGAATCAGGGTTTAGCCATCTCCCCTAGACTGTCATCCAATGGACAGTCAACCCGGTGAAGAGCGCCGGGCGTCCGCTTTCGCCCTGTCACTTTGGTGAAAAAAGACCTCCACCCACCACAATGCCCGAAATTTTCATTGACATAAAGAAAAATAGGTATCAACATGAGCTGACATCGGTTAGAGAACCATTGGAAAACCACCAGGGAGTACTGCCAGACAGCTAGCTGTTTTATCAGCCTTGTTTCGGACTCTTCAACAGTACGCACCCTCCGCCAAGGTTCCAACCCATAACCTTGCGGTTACCGAATTGAGCTCGTGGATCGGGTCTCAGTGGCTTAATGGCCTCCGAGTTCGCCTTGTAACTGAAAAGTCTTGGGTTCGAACCCTAGCGGTGAGTGAGTACTTCTGACGAAACAGCTGTTCAGTGTGCTCCCTGTTGGTTTTCCAATGGTGGTCCTCTAACCGATGTCAGTTCATGATGAAATCCTGTGATCAATCAATCAATCAAATCCCTGGAAACCAACACTTGAAAATAAAAGACGGCTTTTTAGAAAAACCCATCTAGGTGTATGTTCTTTCACTCCCAGGTGCAAAGCGCGATTACTACTCATGTATGTGGTGTGGCTACATGCACACACATGTATATTGGTATACAATACACTATGGGATATGACGTAATTACCTGTACACTTTTGAGGCTTGTAGTAGAGAATGAATGTGTCAATATTAGTGAACATTGAATGAGCAAGATGCAGATATATGGTTTGTTCATTCTAATTGGTCTCCACCATTCCGGCAAGAAACAGCAATGCTGGGTGTGGAGCCTAATCGTTAACTGGTTGGCTGAATGCTGGAGTAAAACTATTAGAAGTATTATTGTGAATATTGTGGCGCAGCGGTAGAATGCTCGCCAACCACGCATGTGGTCTGGGGTCCGACCCCTGGCCGACGCACACCTTTTTTGGGTCCCAGTGGCTCAATGGTATACGAGCCAGCTTGCCTTGTAACCAAAAGGTCCTGGATTCGAACCCTGGCGGTGGGTGCGTACTGATGAAGAGTCCAAAACTAGGCTGAAGAAACAGCTGTCCAGTACTCCCGGGTTTTTGCGTCGGTGGCACAGTGGTTTAGACGCTCGCCGACCATGCACATGGTCCGGGGTTCGATCCTTGGCCGACGCACTCCTTTACCTCACTAAGCCAGAAATAAAACTGGTAAAGAGGGAAGGTTGGGGGGGGGCATGAGGCTAGCAACCCCATCCTGTAAAAATAAACAACACTGCTACAGAAACTCCAACTCTGTAGCTTGAAGCCACCCTATGTTCCACTGGGAACGTGAAGGAACAGGAAAAAAAAATTGTGAATATTGTGTTATGTTGACGTTAATTCATAAACGTGATGCTTATGATAGAGAAGATTTGTAGCTCAGGTGGATGATTTTGATGTGGTTGTGTTCTCTGAGCTGGATAGTTAATTTGCGAAGTTTTCATTATTACCCTACTGGGTGACATCTTCAGCGTATACTTCAATTTGAAGTGAGCTTTTTGATTTCTCCACGAGTTTATTAACAATGAGTGACAATACAAGTAACCTAGAAGGTGTGAAAACACACAAAAACAACCAATCACGTCCAAGGTCACCAGGAGAGATGATTAATAAACTCGTGGAGAAATCTAAAAGCTCACTTCCTTCAAATGGAAGTATGCGCTGAAGATGTTGCCTAGTAGGGTGATGAAAGCTTCGTTATGCTTAGTAACCATGTTGTTCTAGTTCATTATCGGTGAAAAGGTAAACAATCCTTATATTCTGATATTCCCGCGTTGTTTTTCACGCATAGTATTCTGAGGCACTGAATTAATTAGTCTCTTCTGAAATCAACACCAGATTTCAGGAGCGTATTCCGATCTGGAAAATTGGTAGGATGTTTCCGGCTTTTTTCAATCACAATCAATCACTCTGCATAGTAGGGATCTACAGACGACGGAGTTCAGTCTCCCGATTGTATGGTAATTTAATGAAGACGTCTATATATATCACTTAGGGTTCCAATCTCAGAAAGGACATGAGAAGTGTTCCTTCAAGATTGCAGATACGCCGCCTTGCTGCTGACTGACAGGGAGTGCCAACAAGTAGGAAACCTATGTCTGACAAGGCTTCCAAAGCCAATTGCTCCCAACCAATCATCGAATAACAACAGTTGAGTGTACACCTGTCTTGATGGCGAGCCACCCAGTCAGCATGGTGGCCATATTGAATTAAGTCTGCGCTTATTATTTACTCCCGACTGAAAGCTGCTACCTTGACGTGGTGATCGGGCTTGAACACAGCAATGACCCAACAAGCTCTACTGGCTGAGACTTATGTTGCTTGAGGTCCTACCATGCCAGAAAGGTTGTTTGGATAGCGGTTAGACTAAAAGCAGTTACCCAATCCCATCCTATGACTTCAAATAAATCACAAAATATCATGCCGGATCGGTCGGGGCCCGGATTAACAACGACCGCGCTTTCTGCTGCCGTGTCACAGGGCAGAAGTGATAAATACGCTACTGAGACACACCAAATAAAAAAGAACAAACAAATACAGGCCGTGTGTGTGACCGGCCTCAAGCAGTTGTCCCCTGGGCCCTGCGGTCACGCAACCAACTTCCACGGTGTGGGCAGCCGGGAAGTAACAATCGCCCTAACAGTCCGAAATGCACGCGAAACCTCTCTAATCCTCACTCATCTTATTATTTACTTACTTACTAACTAGTGTTCAATTGGAAAACGAACAAACAAACAACCCATTTATAAATCAGTGAGCTAAGGATTTTGTTGAAGCAAGACCTAGGCTCGGTGATTAACTCTACTACTACTTTGAGCGTTTTACGTTATATTTTCAACAAGGTCTCCGGAGGAGAGGTCGGTACTATAATTCCCATTATCCTGTTTCCCCCCCACCCAGAGCCAGGATCCCTGCTGAGCAAACAACATCGTAGTAACGTTTAAGCATGAAAATGAGCACCCGCAGCGCCAGGTGTTTTCCCACCCCCACCACTGTCCGTTCTCAACCAAACCATGGACGCTTCGCAGATGGTCAGGTACTGCCCCATCTCAGCGGGTCATGGCCACTCATCACATGATTTGGTCACATAATTGCACTTCCACCTTGCAGGTAGCATACAACCATCATTCTCGGATCAGGGAAAATTCTTTAATTCACTATCTATCAAAGTCGGCAAGAGAACCTTGAATGCTGACGATCCTCTCACCGGTGGCTCACCTCCGCTGACCAAGACAAGCATGAGTAGGACAATTAACATTTTCTGTGTAGGCTTCTACCCACCTCACCTAACCACCAGAAGTCCGAAATGCTTCCTGCATAGAGACAATAGTCATATACACCTCTTGGGGCGGTTGTACAAAAATGTTTATTCCGGTATAAGAGACTGGGTCCCCGGACCGCGGGCGGTTACTCTCACGGCTGCTCTGCTCCCACTAAATCATGGGCGGGACCCTAACGCTTGCGCGCCCGAGCAACTGAAGGTCGCGCCAGCCACCTGCGCTATATGACCTCACTGGACGGTTCTAAAGACCTACAACCAGCCGTGGATCATACATTTTATTCAGATTTGAAATCCACGACCGATCACAGTCCAACGAGGCGTCTTAAAGGCCACCATCCTTGAGCAAATTAGTCTCGGACATAATCCCCTCACAGGTCGTCTGAAGGTTCGAATCAAACTGCCGCCCAGTAGACACAGGGGTACAAGGCGACTCTCACCAACATCCTTCCTGCTCGGTTTTCATGACCAGGCTACCGATCGCAGTCAATGCCCCCCAAGACGCCTTAGCACCAAAGAGGATTACAACCAGAACATCACCGCGTACGGCAATCCCAAAGGCAAGAAATAGTTCGCTTTCGTCCTGACAGAATTTAGCTAGGGAAGCTGGAAAGCAATCCCACCACTCAGCGGGAAGCACGTGGAGGTCTTAAGAGAGTCATAGTTACTCCGCTACTACTTTATGTACACACTTAAGCATACAGACAGGACCAGAGACCAACATGGTAGTATACACATTGATTATAAAATTAGGCATCATTTACCTGTGTAAGTGTTTTAGACAATAACTGTATAAGATCTTTCATCACTTTTAATCTTGTTCCTTGACCATTCATCTGATCCTTGTATATTGATGGTTCACGTTCATCTTTCCCTGTAAATGATGGAGATGATGATGATGAAGGGAATAATGGATTCTCTTTAGAATATGAAGAACCAAATAAATCTGACATATAATCTTGATCTCGAACAGTCGAGGACGACGACGATGATGATGATGTAGGCGAAGAGGGGAATTGTTCAGCTAACTTTTCTAATACAACTAAACGATTATACACCATTGATAGGAATAAACAGAGTAGTAAGCTTCTGTAGAAGAGAAAATTACAAAACAAAAAGAGAGAGGAGAAAAAAATCACTTTTCTGGAGAATTCACAAACTAAATAACACACAAAAAAACAACATTTCTTTAAGTGTTGATTTACTGTCTGTCTGTCTGTTTTCGACATAGAACTTTGCACATATGTGCGGCAGTTCAAGTTGCCACACTCCCTTCTTGTAGCACACAAAGCAAGAGAAGAAAGTAGGAGAAATGCATATTAGAGACAGTAAACAGAGGTGTGAGACAAAGGAACAGTAATATCGAAGAAGAATATGGTTTCATTGGAAATCATAAGTCACAAGGAGTGGATGCATCTGCACCACTGAGAACGATTTTGAGCCATGTCACCAATTGTTTCCAACCATTGGCTTTTACCGTCCCGAGGACCCCAACCAGTCAGGAAGTCTACACCTTCCTACGTGGCTAGCTTAAACTAACTGTTGTAGATTTCATTGATTGGTGCCATGTTTTCGTTTGACAGCCGCTAGCTCTTTTCCAGCCTGGCCCTATATGACCTAACATTGCCCGTCAGTCGAGGAAGGCGATGACTAGGCATACGTAGCACATGTCCTAACCATCTCAGACGATGTAATTTCACAGTTTCGTCGATTGATTTCCCCGCCTTACCTAGCACTCGACGCCTAACCTCAGTATTGCTCAGCTTATTATACCACTTCACACGGGAGATAGAACGCAGACACCTATGATCGAACACAGCTAATCTCTTCATATCTTGCGTTCTCAATGGCCAGGTCTCACAGCCATAAAGGAGGATGGAGCGGACTGATGAGCAGTACATACGCCCTTTCGTCGATAGTCGGATGTCACGTCTACGCCAGAGACGGCGTAAACTGGCATATGCGAAACTAGCCCTCTGTATTCGTGCTGAGTTTTCATCAGAGATCAACCCGTTGGGGCTGATGGTACTTCCCAAGTAAGTGACGCGGTCAACGTGCTCTACCACTTCACTTCCTATTTCTAAACTAGGAGTCAATGTAGTCCAGTCCTGTAACATCATCTTACATTTGGTGGGAGCGAATCGCATGCCAAACATACGAAGATGGCTGCTCAAGGTGTTCAGAAGACTCTGCATTTTGTCAGCGTCCTCGCCTAGAAGGACTATATCATCTGCATATTCTGGGTCAACGAGATTATTCCTTGGTGGCAGCAAGTCAATCCCTGATTCGCTGAGGTGTGTTAGGGTTAAGTCCATTAGTACGTCTATGATGAAATTGAATAGAAATGGGGTTAATGGGCATCCTTGACGGACACCACTAGTCGTCACCACTTCAGACGACAACTCGCCGTAAGCCCTCACCTGGCTGCATGAGTACGAGCAGAGTGCCTTGATCAGTGCAATGTATTTTCTCGGCATTCCCTTCACAGCCAAGCATCACCAGAGAACCTCTCGGTCGACAGAATCGAATTCCGCCTTTAGCTCAAGAAATATAATGATTGTTGGACGCCGGTAGGAATGCCTCTGTTCTACAATCTGTCAAAGGGTGAAGATATGATCAATACACCCTCTTCCCAGTATAAAGCCTGCCTAGTTTATTTACTAGAGGGATTCGATTGGTTTCAAGTTTGATCGCATGCTGATATCACAGTTACAGAGCCACTGGAAAACCAGAGAGATAGGGACCCTTTGGCATACACTGGGGGGGGGGGTCGAATCCAAGAGCTTCTATTTACAAGGCAAGCTTGTGCATAACACATTTGATCCAGTGGGATGCGATCCAAATTATTTGTCCGTGAATACCAACTTCTGCCAATTCACTATATATATATATATATATATATATATATATATATATATATATATATATATACAGCGCAACTGTCAGCCAATATCATCAGCAAATAAATAACAGTTCTCTAACCTGATTTGATGGACCTCACTGACTACGACTTGTCACTAGGACTCCAGGCAATTTCCTGTATGCATCCAATGGCTAGTAAATATCAGGTTTATTCTCACAGTTGTTGGTTTGCAATAATTTGATTTACTTAAAGGTTTGATCACGAGATAATAGTATCAGTTTGAGAACCACTGAAAAACCAGAGAGTACTGAGTACTGCTTTCATCCCAGTTTGGGACTCTTCAATAACCCCCAGGGTTCAAACCCAGGACCTTTCATTTAAAAGGTGAATTTGTAGACTATTTTTCAGCCACTGGGATACGGACTTAATGGTCTGTGAATCCTAACTTCTACTATTTCGTGATTTTAGCGCGACATCAATGGAAAACGATAGATAAAAACCAGTTAAAAATTATATGGGCACAGTGAATGTTCACATTTATCTCTACCTATTAAACTAATATTTGGACATTCAATAATCTAATCTGACGACCTGACTATATCTTTGCCTGTCAAATGTCAAAGTGACTGCTCTAAACTGAATGGCTTTCTATCACAAATCAGCCAGTGCTCCAAGGAAAACGGTCTTACCTTAAACCCCTCCAAATGCCAAACAGTCAATTTCACCTTTAGGCATAAATCTGGCCTAAACAAACTGGTTAGCACTCATGAGGTGTGCAACATAGATGGCACTGAAATAGAAACCAAGTCGGAAATTAAATACCTAGGCGTCATTCTATCTGCTCATCTCTCCTGGTCGTCTTATATCTTGGCGATTTCTAAGAAAATATTCCGTCTTACCTTCTACATCAAGAAGATAAGACATTCTGGTATAACCCAACCCTTACTCCTACAATTCGTTAACTCTCGCATTCTGCCTATTATTCTCTATTGTTCTCTCTTAGAAAGACTATAACATATTACGCAGGATGTTAAAGGTTGTCAGCAGGGTAAGCGATGTGCCACTTAACCAGTTTGTTAATATTCTGGTTGACAGGCACATAGACTCATGTGAAAAATGGGCTAAATCCATTTTATCTAACTCATACCACCCTCTTCATTCACAACTCTTCCCTTGTATCTCATCAGGCAGGACCAGAAGCCTATATAGAAAACTATATGCTCGCACCAGCAAGTACGAAAACTCAACCATACCCTACTTAGCTCGTGTTCTGTGCGATAAAGAAAGCATTAGGCGTGACACCTATAATTGATTGAATAGTCAGTAGAACAACTGGACCTCGTCTTTCCAACTCATATCATTTGTAGGTACAACGTTTTCTTTCTTTCCTTTCCTTTTCTCTCTCATTTTTTTCTGTTATTGTGCTGCTTTGTTTCCTTCTTTCGCTTACGCCAGTAAATATGATAGCATCTACTTTTCTAACACCTTCAAACACTCTGTTCAACTTTGGCTTTGCTACCGACATGCCAATATGTTGTTGTCATAATGAACTGAGATTTCCTTAATCTATGTAGAATTCTATTTATTGATAATGTACTAACTGGATGCAATACTGTAGTGAAAATGCTGAGAATTCTATTCCGTATCACAAGTACTGTTTTGGAATATAGTAAATTATTATTATTGTTATTTGTATTGTCGTCTTATTACTGTTGTAAGGTGATTCTCTTGTTGCCTATAATGTGCCAAAAGATGACCTCAATCCACGAAGTATTTGTCAGCTGATTTGAATCATTCACATAGCGAAGTGTCGTCTGTCTGATTATGAGGTCCTTTGAATGCTAAGAACTAATCGCCTTGAGACTGTTGGCGATATTCTTCAAAGCTGTCTGCATTGATGAGAATGCCAAACACTCCGTGTTACCGCTCAGGTCTATGAAATCTGGCCCCAGGTAGCACCACTAAACATCACACACACACAAGGCGTATTATTTATTTATTTTATTATTCCCTTGGGTTCCAATGTGGAATATAGGGCTTCCAACAAAACATCCCCACTTTGTCCTATTTGGTGCTGCCCTCTTCAGCTGGCTAGCTCCATGATTACCTATAATCTCTCATCTCCTCCTTCCTATCACCCTCTCAATGACGACCCGCTCGTCGCTTCCAATTTGGATTCCACTCGAGTGATGGCCTACATTGTGGGCGATGTCATTCGACGGCATCCTCAGCGGAGTGTGTACGGTTCATCTGCATTTTCTCTTACATATATGTTGTTAACTAGCTTGGTAGTTTTCTAGCCAGTCCCAAGCCCGAGTAAACAGAGGGAGAGGGGTTAGGCGTGGGGCTAGTGATCCTACAACACAAAAGCTATCCAACTGCTAGAGAAACTTCAAAACACAAAAGGCGTGAAATTGCAAGTGGTTTAAGGGTTAATGGATAAACGAGTACCCATTGCAGAATTATATTTACGAGTTAAGAAATTAAAGTTTACGAAATGTAAAAGAAAATATCTCTATATCATTCTATTTAAAGATTGAATTAAACACATTTAAGGTTAAGGTAAGGTGTTATAAAACAGCGCTGTCGTCAATCAGCTCGTTTAACACCAGTCAGTTTATTATTGATGCCGACTATGAAATAGAATAAGTGAACCGAGGGTGGGGATAGGGGGTTCGAACCCATCGTTTCCAACGCCTCCATAGATTCCACTGTTAGTTACTGTCAAAGAAAAGAATGCCATTATCATGGAGGATTTCATCATGAGCTGACATCAGTTAAAGAACCACTGAAAAACCTGCCAGGGAGTACTGGAAAGCTGTTTCGTCAACCCAGTTTGGGACTCTTCAGTAGTATCCAGTAGGGTACAACAGGTTGAAGATGAGGCAGTAACTCATCGAAGAAGACATTGCGAAATGGTCGCGCTGTGTCGTGAATTGGCAGAAGTTAGAATTCATGGACTGGCTGGTCATTGCATCGGGTCCCAGTGACTCAATGTTCTATGAGCTCGCTAGCCTTGTAACCAGAAGGTCCTGGATTCGAACCCTGGCAGTGGGTGGGTGCGTGCTGATGAAGAGTCCCAAACTAGGATGAAACAGCTGTCCAGTACTCCCTGGCAGGTTTTCCAATGGTTCTCTAACTGATGTCAGCTCATGATGAAATCCTCCAACCAATCAATCAAACAAAATCCCTACAAAACCAATACTTGAAAATGCTATTATCACTCATATATGTGGAGGTCTACAGCACTCAGCATGAAAAATAAGATCCGGATTTTCAACTGCAATGTAAAGTCAACGCTACTCAATATACGGATCAGAGACTTGGCGCCATGTCGCGTCACGAAGTGCACTTCGAACAAACTACACACCTTCATCAACAGCTTCCTTCGCTCAATACTACTCAAGATCAGATGGATGGCCAGAAAAGATCAGCAACAGGGAAAGATTTCTGGCTATGAGCGAACCAATCAGGAACCGATTGTGCAACAAATCTACAGTAAGAAATGGAGGTAGGTGGATTGGCCATACTCTCAGAAAACAAACCATGAAGTGACATCATTAGACAAGCCATTGCTCGAGTGGAACCCGAAAGGGAAGCGGCGAGTTGGTCGTCAGTACAAGCGTGACTTGGAGGAGGTCATGTGAAGAGGAGATGAAAACGTGTTGAGAGACTTGGAGCCAGGTGAAGACTGTAGCAGAGAACCGAACGCAATGGAGACGTACGGCTGAAGCCCTATGTTCCTCTAGGAATTATAAAGGAAACAATAATACAATATAATAATGTATGTGTGAATGATGCAACAATGATAACTTACATAATAACTAATAACAGCCATGCCCGATCTGGTCGCATAAATAAATACGTCATATCTCCAGATCCGAAATAGCTAACATTATTATTATTGCTACTGTTATTATTATTACCATTGATTGGTCTTTTACCAGTTGTTCCATTCAAACAACTATTGAATACATTTTGTTTACCTTGATCAGAATATTTCACTGTAGGCACTTTATTATGTGTGGTGGTTAATTTGCTTTTAACTGATACATTGACGTCATTTTTATTTCGACGATTCTCTTGATGACTAGCTGTGCTGACAACATCTTGAACTGTTGTTCCATGATGATGGTGAGGGAGCATTCGATGATGATGCATCTGGGGAATTGAAGACACTTCATTACTATTGGTATTATTATTATTATTTACACAACCACGTTTCTGTGTTAACCAACCTCCGGTGAGACGTTCTTCCATTGAAAGGTTTGTTGCAAACCCGGTTAACTGTATCGTGAGAGTATCAAAAAAGTCTGATAGACCAGAATTACATGTATTCTCTATGATACTTTTTGCCCCGAAGAAAACTGGTTTCTCATAGATCACCTGAGAACAGACATGTAGACGACTAGTTGTAGGATTCACACGCAGTAGACAGTAACGGCTGACAACACAGAAACAATTGCACAGTGGTACAGCTTGATTAGTAACTTTTGCGTCAACAACATATCGTTTGCCAAATTCGGATTCACTTAATAACAATGTCTGAAATTTAGAAGAAAAAAGTATGTATGTATATGTATTATTGATAAAAGTATAAAACTTCGGCACTGTGGTAGAGTAAAGCTCCATTATGGATAAATCACACAGTGTTATACAGTAATATTAAACATCGTTCAAACTCTAGGCCAGGTGAGTAATTTATATGAAATGAAGAAGAAACTAAATGACATTCAACTAGATAATGATGAAACAATGGTTAGTTTTGATACATAAATAGTCTTCATACTAATATACCAATCAATATGGCAGCCATAGAAGCAGTTAAAAAAGAAGTAACTGCAGATCCTGAACTCACTCATAGGACAAAGCTGCCCACTGAGGAAATTATTTTAGGAATTCAGTTATGCTGTCTCACATCTACTATCTTTAAATTCCAAGGCAAAATATATATTGACAAACAGAGGGTGTAGCAATGGGATGGATCCCCAGTATCCCCTATTGTAGCAGATACATTTATGGACAGCTGGGAAAATATTGCTCTTGACACAATATTTAATTATACTCCAAAAATATGTTGGAGATGTGTGGATGACACTTTCACAGTGTTAAAAATAGAACATATCTCTAGCTTCTTGACACACATAAACTCACTAGTAGAGGGAATAAAATTCATATTTGAATCGGAAAATGAACAAGGAGAATTAGTTATGTTAGATTGTGAAATAAAGCGAACAGAAGAAGGTAAACTGCACATTAGCGTTTATGAAAAACCAACGCATTCTAATAGATATTTAGACTTTAATTCATCTCATCCTTTAACTGTTAAGGCAGGCTTAGTTAAGCGTCTAACAAACCGAGCAATAGCACTAAGTGGCACAAGAAAACACCTAAATGATGAAATAAAACAGATAGAAGAAGCGTTGGTGTCAAATAACTATCCTATAAAATTCATTAGAAAGAGTGAAAAAGGCCAAAAGCAAAATGAAAATAATTGTGTAACTAGTAATGATAACATAAATGAGAGACAACATAAGTCATCCACTGTAATACCATAGTAGGGGGGGACATCTGAGACCCTCCCTACGTAGGATTCTCAATAAAGCAGGAATTAGGGTGGCATTCAAACCTACAAACTCACTCAGGCAGGGACAAGTTCTGTAGGCTAAAAGACCCGGTGGACCCAATTAAGCAAAATAATATAATTTACAAAATACCTTGCAATGAATGTGAGTTAAGTCAACCACATAGGTCAAACTAGTAGGTCGGGGGTAATCAGATTGTCGGAACACAAGAATTTAGCTGAGGTAAGAATGGTTGACCCCGAGAAGATGAGTAATTTAGAGAAAAAAGCTCAGCAATTGCACTACATGCATCAACACAAAACCACACAATAGAGTGTGTGGGACAGATTCAAAATTCTAAAAAGTAATCTACGTAGGTGAAGATAGAGATTAATTGATTACTGAATCCTGGTTCATTAAGTTAACACACAACACATGCAACAGAAATGACTCAATGCAAATACCAGGAATATTCATGGAAGATATTATTACCACCAGTCAGTCACATCAGAAGAGAATAATAAATATTCTTAATATTCTATTTCAATTCAGTTCACGTACCTCATAACATTCTAACAAGTTACTTATTATGACTATAAAAAACACTCGTCTTATTTCCCATCTGATTGTATTTGATGAATAACACTCGTATTGTTATTTCTGAATGTACATTATCATCTTATATTGATTTTGATTCGAATGTCGAATCATCGATTCCACTCATGTATATAAATGAAGGAAAAAGTTGTGTGAGTAATGTCTTGACATCATTATGAGTGGCAATAGTTTGTGCTCGAAAGGTGGTCATCAGTTAATATTACTGTATAACACTACACTGTGTGATTTATCAAAATAAAATCTTATCCATAATGGAGTTATGTATATATGTATTAGTAAAAAAGTGAATTTTGTAATGTATACATGGATATTGGCTGGAGGTGTGGGTGCGTGCTGATGAAGAGTCCCAAACTAGGACGAAACAGCTGTCCAGTAGTCCCCAGTTGGTTTTCCAAATGGTCAGCTCATGATGAAATCCTTCAAATAATCAACAACAAAAAATCCCTAAAAAACCGATACTTGAAAAAACACATGGATATTCTTATTCCATATTAGATAAGTTTATTTTAAATATCACATACAGTGATGATGCAGTATATTATTAACAACTGGATGTGACAAGGTTTTGAGCATAAATTATTATTATAATTATCATGGAAAATTCCCATTGTAACATATAGAAAATCAAAACAAATGATTCAGCGAAGAAAGTCTTTTCAACGAATTTATCATCAACCTGTACAATCGTATATACATGGTGTTTTAAGAAGTTATATCCGGTGAGGGAATTGAATCATAGGTGTGAATGCATAAAATAATAATAGTAGTAGTATGAAATGCAATTTAAATTAAAATGTTTGTGATTACAATCATAGTTAAATGTCAAGTGGCAAAGCAAATTAATGTCATATATAAAACAATTCATAGGATGGATAGAATTTGAAAAAGGTGTGCAATTATAGGATAAGTAGACAAATCGAATAAAATAAAAACGTTACGTAATATTGCGTGAAATTTAATAGCATAGAATTTAATGTTGCATTAAAGAATTGACTTAGAATGACAAGTGGAACAAGTGAAATAATACCGGGGACAGTCAAAAGTGAGAGTAGTAATAGTAACAATTGACGTAATAAGGAAGAGTATACAAATTGAATAGACAAAAAATTATTAGAGCTAAAATATGACTAGGGATTACCATACTTTAGCATAGAGGGATTAAGATCATGAAAGTTGGAGGGGTTGAACGAACATTTTCTGTACACAGAGATCTGGCTTTTCTGTTTCGATAACCAAAGCTTCAGCAATACAGATGAGTCGCGTACGTGGGGATTTCGGTAAATTACTCTTTGCCTTGTAGATGACTTTAAAGGCGGAAGCTATAGAGATAGGGTGATCATTATAGACCAGATGTTCAATGATCGCGCTTCTAGTTGCTCCACTTTCACCTCTACGTAACTACCATGCAGGATAGTGTTCTTGCACCCTCTTGGACAAAACTCGAGTCGAACGACCGATATACCTAGCTCCACACGAGCAGGTGAATTGATAAACACACATAGAGTTGGTCAACAGCGGGATCTTGTCCTTCAGGTTATTGAACAGTAATGGTCGATTAGTAAAGGCTATTCTCAGAGATGCAGCAGGGAATATTCTTTTCAGGGACTGTAATATCCTTCGTTTCATGATATCGGAAGCTAAGTCCCCTTTGAATTCTAAGGTCATGTGAAGTATTTTCTTGGGTACGGTTGATAAATCACGTTTTTTAGGATTTGAATGTATATTCTCATCTTAAAATTATATCAATTTACTCACATGGCTTCACAATTTGTGCTATATATATTTCCTCTCTCTTTTTCTCCCTCTTCTCCTGGTTGTTTGCGTTGCGTCATTTCAATTGCACGTTTGCGGTGTTGATTCGATAACACAAAGATTCAGTGATTAACCTGTCTTTGTCTCCATTTAACTATATAACTTTATTACTTTAAACCTGCCCCCATCCCTAGTCGTTGTGTGATTACAAGCAAGTGAATGCAGTGCAATGATTGACCTTTCTTCTAGGTTATTTAACTTAGCAGGGTCAATCACCAGTCTAGCTAGACCTAGCTAAATTTCTGTGTTCCAATAATCTAGTTACAAAATCGAAGACTTACAAGCGAAAACCGACAAACTGGTCGAAGAAGCAGCAGGTGAACATATAGAGAAGACGGAGGTGATGAAGATCACCAACAAACCGCTACAAGAACATGAACAACAACAACCACCAATCACCAAAAACGGGAGAGATTTGACAAAGGGAACCTCTTTCACTTATCTGGTTAGGCAGCATCGTTTCAACTACAGGCACATGGCACAAATGAAGATGTCAAAGCCAGCCAGCCAGCTAGAATCGGAAAGACAAGATGCACCTTCATCAACTTGAAACCAGTTTGGAAATCTTTTGCACTGCACTCAGTATAAGGAACAAGATTCTCATTTTCAACACAAATGTCAAGTTGGTCCTTTTTATACGGGTCACAGACTTGCACTGCGCGTCACGAAAAGCATTTCCAACAGCCAGTCGCAGACTTTCATCAACAGCTGCCCACTTCGCTGGCTAGCTCCATACTGAAGATCAAATGGCCAGAAAGAATTAGTAGCAAGGAACTCTGGCTGGCTGGGAACAAACCAATAGGCGAGAGCCGATCGCTCAACAAATATGTAGGAGAAGATTCAGATGGACCGGGCACACGCCACTGAGGAGGACATCGAATGACATTGTGGTGAGAGATGGCTGCTAGCCAAAAATGGTAGACAGTAATTTACGTCAATGTTTACGTCCCCAATATTGGTCGTGAGACAAAAATAAGAACAAAGACTGACTCAACAACCAATCACAGGAGACTTTGTGTAGGCGGATACAATTTGCAGATAGATAATCTGAACTTCAATAAACGGCCACAAAGAGATGAAAGATTCACGTTCAGCGAGAAACCACCAATCAGAAGACTGTGTTTGTTTGCTTACAATAATCTATAATAATATACATGAAAATATATAAATATGTGTTGATTTCCCAAATAAACGATTTGTTGACTGGCCCTTGTCTTCTGTTGTTACAACATCACGCACAATACAGGCCATCACTCGAGTGGAATCCAAAGAGGACAGCACCAAATAGGACAAAGTGGACATGTGTTGTTGAAGCCCTATGCTCCACATTGGAACCCAAGGGAATAATAATAATGATAATAATAATAATATAACAATATATGAATTACACATACCTGTTGTTCTACTGCAGTACATGTTCTTGGACCAAGTTTTTGTTTCAATGTCAGTGTATAAGTAATCGTCCGCTCGACTTTATTACCATTCAGAGTAGTACTAGTCGGAGGAATCTGGGGGGTGCTGGCAGTACTGTCAACTTGATCCAATGAAGAATTAAACCATTTAAATACTGGCCAAGGCGACTGGACCATACCAAATGTACCACGGATTTCACTAAGACGTGAAAAAAATTCTGAATCTGTAAAAATACAATGAAATAAAGCATCAACACTTAATGGTATGTCTGTATCAACATATACTCTACCCGGATGATCATGTCCTGGACTGCAAGTAACAGCAGGTAGATGAAGATCTAAAGAATGCATTAACGACGTTTGTGTCGGTGATGGTGATGATGATGATGGATCATGATGAGTGTTTAAATAATTACATTCAGGGTTCAGTGTATTCGTGATATCATCATGATGACGGGATCCACCAATACGTCGTTTACGTACACGTTTCTTTTTCTCTTTACTAGATTTCATTGAAGTCGGTACACTATCAGAGACAATTTCATCGGGTAGATGATGATGATTCACTGCTGCTGATGATGTAGTAATAGGACAGAGAACTTCAGGTGTAGGACAACGTCGGATTGTAGTGATCTCTTTCAGTTGATGCATGGAATTACTGTCAACAATGCTTAATTGACTTGGATTTGAAAAAGATGGACCACGGGATAGGAGGACATCACCATCTGAGCCAGCTACTTTTAATTCATCATCTGTAGTGCCTAGAGCTGAACACTTTGACGATTGATCATGATTTACTGGTTGATCTGAATGCCAGACATCTTCAAGGGAACCGGATTTTGAACGACCTGTACCGGTGAGTTGAGAGGACATCGATGAATCGGACATTGAGCGTAACTAGTAGGGAAAGGGAGAGAGGAAAACGTAGGATGGATATAAATATCGTCAATTTGTATATGTAGTCCTTTGTTGGAAAATAATACATGTAAGATATACCAATAAATGCGAATTCTCCTCAAAATATTTGTACCTTGAACTATCTGAGGAGAGGAGTCAGCTTAATACAGTAATCATCGTATGACTCATCATGTGATCGGGTGACTGTAATCGTTCATCATCCTTTTCTTACCTTGGTCTTGGCAAAATCGCCAACCAATCAGAATGCGTATTCTTCCTCGGACCTAATCGAGTCGCCAACCAATCAGAATGCTTATTCTTCCTCGGACTTTGCGTAGGCGGATAAAGTTAGCGTATAGATGAATTGACATTCAAGAAACAGCCACAAAGAGATGAAAGATTAATTTTCAGTGAGAAACAACCAATCAGAAGACTGTGTTTGTTTGCTTACAATAATCTATAATAATGTACATGAAAATCTATAAATATGTGTCGATTTCCTAAATAAACGATTTGTTGACTGGCCCTTGTCTTTTGTTGTTACCTTTGGTGTCTCTGCCTACCGACAAATGGAAAGCGTATGCCCTGCAGTTTTTGATTGAGACATATGCATCTTCGGGCAGGACTTCGAGGCTTCTCCGCAGTTGAGTGGCGTTCAAGATCTGTCATCGATGAGGCTGTTACTTGGGACGCTGCTAAGAGGTCGGGTGAAAGTAGCATATGAAAATGTGGGGCGAAATACCGACGAATGTGCGACAGGGTCAGGCAAACAGTTTCCAAAGTGGGAAGGACCACATATGGTCACGTTGAGATGGAGTTACGCAGACACAATCGCAGCGGCAAACAAAGAGAAACAGGTGAAGATCAGTGAGCGCCAAGATTCCAGACAGCAAGACAAACGAACAAAGCCCCTAGAACCAAGAAGACAGAACCAATTTAAGTCGCAAGTCTTTGACGGGGGGACGAGTGTGATAAGAGCTGGCTGCTAGCCAAATTGTTAGACATTAATTTACGTCAATGATTATGTCCCAAATATTAGTCGTGAGAAAAATAAGAACAAAGACTTTGCGTAGGCGGACACAGTTAGCAGATAGATGATCTGACATTCAAGAAACAGCCACAAAGAGATGAAAGATTCACGTTCAGTGAGAAATCACCAATCAGAAGACTGTGTTTTTCTGCTAACAATAATCTATAATAATGTACATGAAAAGCTATAAACCTGTGTTGATTTCCTTAATAAACGATCTGTTGACTGGCCCTTGTCTTCTGTTGTTACAATATCAACTGCCAACGCGATCATATCAATCGACGACGCGGCTATTCATTTCAGTGTAGTCATATCATCACCAGGATCGGAAAGGCAAGATAGATCTTCTACGGTCTGAAATCAATGTGGAAAGCTACTGTACACTAAGCATAGAGAACAAGATTTTTAGGATTTTCAACACTAATATACCAAGTCAGTCAGTCAGTGTTTCTATATAATTCGATATAATTTGGTGACCGCGTCACCGAAAGCATTTCGAAAAGACCACTACCGCGGACTTTTATCAACAGGTGCCTTCATTGGCTCTAACCAGAAAAGATTACCAAACAAGGTACTCTGGTAGGCGGAGAAAACATCAACAGTCTATCGTCCAATAAATGCGCCGATGGAAATGGGGATGGACTGGACATACGCGCTGAACAGACCGTTGTCAAGTAACATCACGTGCCAGATAAAGCCTCGAGAGAAACCAGAATGGGAAAAGAAAAGTTGGACGAGGGTCTAAGAGAGAAACAGAGGAGATCGTGTGAGGAGAGCGGCGGAGGGGGGCAGGAAATGAAACCTTCTGGTCAACTGTACAACTAATCGAAAAAGACTATAGAGAACAGAATGAAATGATATGATGGAGAGGAGATTTATAGCTAAGGTGGATGATTTCGATGTGGTTGTGTTCTCTAAGCTAGCTGGATAGTTAATTTGCGAAGCTTTCATCGCCCAAACACTAGGCGACATCTTCAGCGCATACTTCAATTTGAATTGAAGTGAGCTTTTAGACTTCTCCACGAGTTTATTAATCGTTTCTCCTGGTGACCACCTTGAACGTGACTCTTTGGTTGTTCTTGTGTGTTTTCACACTCTCCACGCTTCTTGAATTGGTATTGATTGTTTCCTTGACTTGAACTTCGACCCTTTGTGTGTGTGAGGTTTCCTTCTTATCGGTTGATAAATTTTGTCTATCTCGATGTGTCTACTGATTGACGATTCACTGGGATATCAGGCTTTTAAAAATTCTCTTACTAGCGTTCTTGGTGTTTCCTCTGTCTAATATTTGAGCGTTGGTTGTCCCAGTCGAATTGATGTCTGTGGTTATCTGTATGTAGTGATACGAGGGAGTGGGAGAGGGAGATAGACAAAATGTACCAACCGATAAGAAGGAAACATCACACACAAAGGGTCAAAGTTCAAGTCAAGGAAACAATCAGCACCATCATCACAAGCAGCCTAGAGGGTGTGAAATTACACAATAACAACCAATCACCTTCAAGGTGGTCACCAGGAGAGATGACTAATAAACTCGTGGAGAAATCTAAGAGCTAACTTCAATTCAAATTGAAGTATGCGCTGAAGATGTCGCCTAGTGTTGGGGCAATGAAAGCTTCGCAAATTAACTATCCAGCTAGCTTAGAGAACACAACTACATCAGAATGAAATGAAGATGTGGTGTTTAGCAGAAATTCTATGTTCCACTCAGAACCTAAAGAGGGCAGTGATTATCTCTAGAATTACGAAGTGAGATTCGGATTTTGTTAATCATCAACCAGAGACAATATAATATCGGCCTAATTCAACAAATCATTAATGAATTGAATGGGATGCATATTGGAAAAAAACAAACAAAACAATTTACGACGACTGTCTTCAAAAATCTCAGTGGGTGAGTGCACTGATGAATACAAAACTAGGATGAAAAAAAACTGTCCAATACTCCCTTGATGGTTCTCTAAATGATATAAATCGGTTAATTAATTCGAGGAAAGGTCAATCTCTTCAAAGTTGTCGATTTAATTGCTTTTGTATTATTATTATTATTATTATTGTTTCCTTTAATTCCTAGAGGAACATAGGGCTTCAGCTGTGCGTCTCCACTGCGTTCGGTTCTTTGCTTCCCTTTCAGGTTCCACTCGAGCACTGGCTTGTCTAGTGATGTCACTTGATGGTTTCCTCAGAGTATGGCCAATCCACCTATCTCCATTTCTTCCTGCTTATTTGTTTCACAATCGGTTCCTGCTGGGTTGGTTCGCTCAATGCCAGAGATCCCTCCCTGTTGCTGATCTTTCTGACCGGCCATCTGATCTTGAGAGAAGTATTGAGCAAAGACAGTTGTTGATGAAGGTCTGTAGTTTGTTTGAGATGCTCTTTATGACGCGTAGTGCAACTCCCTGATCCGTATAGTAGCACTGACTTCACATTGGAGTTGAAAATCCGGACCTTATTTTTCATTCTGAGTGCTGTTGACCTCTACACAGACTTGAGAGTAGTGAAAGCTTGTCTTGCTTTTCCGATCCTTACTTTGATATCCTCATCAGTTCTGTCCGCCTGTAGTTGAAACGATGCTTCCCAGGTAGGTAGGTAGGTAAAAGAGGTTGTTTCTTTCAGGTCCCTCCCATTTATGCTGGCTGATTTTTGTCTGTTGTTGTTGTTGCTGTTGGTGGTGGTGGCCAGGAATCTTCATCACCTCTGTTTTCTCGATGTTCACCTGAAGTGAAGTCCTATTTTTGATGCTTCTTCTACCGCCAACTTGTCACTTTTCACTTGCATATCTTCCAGTTTGTGTGAAGTCAGACATACATCATTGGCGAAGTCCAGATCCTCCAAGTTTTTTGTGTTAGTCCATTTTATGCCTGTTTCCTCATTGCCCGGCCCGTTGTCTGTCACATTATCCAATCTACTGCAATCAGGAAAATCATTAGCGATAGTAGGCAGCCAGCTTGTCTTACTCCAGTCCTCACTTCGAAGGATTCCGTAAGTTTCCCATTGTGGATTACTTGGCATGCAAATTGCTTTTGTAACAAGCAATATACTTAGATAAGGCAGAGAAAGAGCGAGTTTAATTTGACTGACTAACATACAATAAGTAGAACAAGGCGGCAAACAAGGTAGGACGTTGGGTGTGAGGACAGATACTCACCGATGACATCAGCATCTCACAAAATAGTGCTATTTGATGATATTAGATGGTTAGAGGCAATTGGCTACAGAAAGCCTTGCTTGAACTAGGTTTCGTGCTAGTTGGCACTCACCAGTCAGCAAGTTGGCGTATCTGCAGCCTTGAAGGAACTCATGTCCCTTCTGAGATTCGAACCCGCGTCACTCAGTGCTGCAGTCAGAGATGTTACCACTGAGCTATTCGGGCTCGCGATTGACCTCCTGTAGGAGTGTAGTGGATATTTTTGATTTGACACTAGTAACTAGTGTGATGTGTCTAGTCCTCTCTTTGGTGATATATATATTGGTAAAGGTTAGAATTCATGACCTAGCTATTGAATTCCAGCCCACTGGCTGAATGGTAGATGAGTTCGCCGAGTAATCTGAAGGTCCTAGATTCGATCGTCAGCTGTGTTGGACAGTCCCAAAAACGAAGTGAACGAGACAATTGTCCAGTATTCCTTAGTGGTTCTTCAACTGAAGTCAATTTATGGCCAAAACAGATAAAAAATAGAAAGTGGACTTACTCTATGCGAATAGGTAGTCGGTGCTAAATCCGCCTCCGCATCGGTATCCTCATCTTCGACCATAGCCAGACTATGATCACCGTACATATCACGAATTTGCTGTAGTATCTCTTCAATACTCATTGCCTATGATAGGAAAAAAGAGGATAGTTGGATTTTTTTGAGGAAGGTGGACAAATCGTATTATAAATGTAAAAAACGTTGAAAAGAAAAAAAAAAAACAGAAGAACACCTCACACTTCATAGCCGTTTTCATTATATACACCAATATCAGGTTAGTAGGTTATTTACAAAAAGATAGAAAAGCTATAAGCTTCACTCTAGTTTAAAACTACATTCACATCCACACACACACATGCAAACACATACAACTGTGCCTACGTAAGATCGAGATGAAGGATGTTGGACTTTATGAGGTGGAGTGAAGTGAAGATGACTCACTAGCCTACAGAATAGTACTGACTGCAGTAGGGAGGATAGTGATGCTCAGGAGGGCTTCGTGTGCTTTTGGAAGTGTATGGGGGGGTGTTACTTCCTGGCTACAAACACCTTGGAAGTTGATTGATTCCCCGGGTATCTGAAACAGAAAGAGAGTTAGTGTTGCATGACCGCAGAGCCTAGGGGACAACTGCTTGTGGCCAGTCGGTCACACACGGCCTGAATGAACTGGTTTCTTGTATTGGTACCGTACTAGTAAACTTACTGCCGGTTACGGACCACCGTAGGGTAATTCGGGATGTACAACTTTTGGGGTGGACCTTTTCTAAACCACTCTTTCCACAGTGGAGAGACAGCATAGCTGGCTGGCATGCTGGTCGTCTGAGGGAAACACCTCACTGTTGTCGTCTTATAGTCTCCTTTATTCCATTCTGTTCATCAGAGAGGTAGTGAAATATTCCAGATGTCCGATTGGATAGGTGTTGAATCATTTCTATTACACGTATTCTCTTCATTTGGTTCGACAAATAAAGCTTCCATTATCAATCTCTCCCACCAACCTGCTATATCAGTTAGATTTTAGGAGTGTTATCATATCCGTCCTGTATTGTATAATTTTTATTGCTTTACGTTCCCATCGGTGGAACATAGGGCTTCAAGCTAGAGGCCTGAAGTTTCGGTAGCAGTGGTGTTTATTTTTACGGAATGGAGTTCCTGACCTCATGCCCCCAATTTTCCCTCTTTACCAGTCTTATTACACGCTTAGCGAGGTTTGGGGGTGCATCCGTCGGCCGGGGATCAAACCCCGAATCACAAGCGTGGTTGGCACCGACTCGCTTCTGTATTGTATGGTTGTGTGTAATTGCATATAGTCCCATAGCTGAACTATTCTCCAGATTTCCAATCTTATCACGGCCAACTAATCGAGATTATGCCAGGTCTTTGTGCTCCGTTAGTTTGATTGACTCCGGTTCTACTACTTTGACCTGACAATCATTGCAGTCAGGGTATTAGATAAACTAAATTGTTTTGTTTAATTAACTCCACAGGATCCTTTAACAGACAAAGCTTGTTTCTAATTGAGTTTGTGGATTTTATTTTCATTTTTATCCGTGCATTGTTAAGAATTCTCCACCGTAAGGTTTCTGAGGTTTCGTCTTTGTATGGAAGTACTACTGATGAATTATATTCCCTATTGTTGGTGTTGTCATTATCCTGTGTATGTTTGATATACTTCCTGATTAATTTATCAGGATAATTATCAAGTTTCAAAGCTTCTCTTATACACCTCACTTCCTGTCTTAGATTTTCTTTGGTACTACTTGGCTTTTCCTTTGCCCCATTTACTTAAACATTTCACCAATCTTATTTTTACTGACATAGGATGGGATAAAATTGAAATCCAAATATCGATTTTAATGTGTGTGTGGGGGTTCTCTGTGAACACTAGTGTGTTTCGCCTTCCCATCTTCTTTGCTTTTTACGCTACAATCTAACATTGGAAACTCCTCTTCCTGGCTGTTTTATTCATAAATGGATTGTGAATTTTGCTCTACCTTCGAGTTGATGTTGTGGAAAAATCTATTTCTATCCTGTGGCTTAAGTGCAGTGAATGTGTCATCTACATACCTCCACCATACTTCGGGCGTGGGGATGGACACCACAATCGCTAAGTTTTCCGACCTATCCGTGAATATATATGCATACATACCCAGTAAATAATACTGTATCACTGTGCGATATATCTTTCTTTTATTCCTTTACATTCCCATTGGTGGAACATAGGGCTTCAAGCTACAGGCCTGAAGTTTCGGAAGCAATAGTGTTTATTTTACGGGATGCGGGTTGGTAGCCTCATGGTCCCCAACCTTCCCTCTTCACCAGTCTTATTAATGGCTTAGCGAGGTTTGGGAGTGCGTCCGCCGGCCAGGGATCGAACCCCGGACCACTTGTGTGGTCGGCAAGCATTCTACCACTGTGCCACCGACACACATACGATATATCTAATAAACAAATTAATATGGAATAACACAAGGCTTCAAGCTAGACAAACTTTGAAGGTTCAAGAATAGCCGCAGTGATTATTCTTCACGAGGTGGGATTGTTAGCCCCCCACACTCACGCCTAACCTTTTCTAATTAACAGGTTTACTATACTAGCTAGGAGAGGTTTAGCAGGGCGTCAGCTAGGAGTCGAACCCTGACCAAGTACGGTGTAGTTGGCAAGGTGTTTACCCCAAGAACCATCAACGCACACCCAAAGGTTGTTATGTGTGAATATTTTTCTCATATACCTGAGATTTAACACACACCACACAGAATAAGATCGTAGTTGTTCACGGCTAACAAATTCAAAAGTAAAAAATTAACAAATTAACAGTACAGTGATCACTGTGTAACGAAGGAAAACAAAACACTTAGTAAAGCAGTTTTTATTAAGGAAGAACACACACCCTATTTATACATGTCTAGCCACTAGGTGCGCTGGTGATTAACTATTCGGATTGGTTGCCGAATGCTATCCAATGAGGTTGTTTCCTGACCACAACGTAGACTAAATTCAGAATTTTAGGAATAAACACTAAAACTTCTGCAGCTGTTGACTTAAAATGTTCTTTTTTTAATTTCAGATGCACCCTATCAATCTACTATACTACTGATAAATCTTGTCAGTAGCGCACACCACAACTGGATTTTCAAGTAAGTTTTGATTAACAGATGTGAATCTGTACTGAAAAGGAAATCTCCACGAAGAACTGATCAGTGAACCAAGAATATTCATTGAGATAATTTATTCACCAGGACCTACACTAGTACTATGTCCATAATTGAGTTCAGAATAACTGACGTTGACAACATTCATGTGGCCTATTTAAAATAATATCGAGTCATTAAAAGGATTAATAGATTACGGCTCAGAATCATGTGTATGTGATCATGAGCATAAGAATACAACTGAGCTGAATATCATCACATAAATTAAGAAAAATAATTAATACGGAATTTATAGATTCTATATAGCAGGTCAAGGGAACAATCAATGCCTGAATATGCTTTTTATTTTATACATAGAGTTACAGTTGCTTCGTCAGATTGACTAACTGACTTTGCTCAGAAGAGTGGAACAAAGCTTGGTATTTGAGGTTTATGGAGTGAGGTTGTTAACCTCACACACCTAACCTTCTCTCCTTATCTCGGTTTACTAGTGGTGTTCCATGAAGGAAGTAAAGGATCTCATAGACAGTAAATCTCGGCCTCCAAATCACGTAATGCTGTTTACATTCGAACTTGACTGTGACCACCTAGTGCCCAATGAAAGAATGAAGGCTTAAAGTTCCACGCAGAAGGCAGCGGACGAACAATAATACAATAATAATAATAATAATAATAATAATCGAGTGTTGGCTTGTAGGGATTTGATTGGTTACAGGATTTCATCATGAGCTGACATTGGTTAGAGAACCACTGGAAAACCTGCCAGGGAGTACTGGACAGCCAGCTGTTTCGTCAGCCTAGTTTGGGACTCTTCATCAGTACGCACCCACCCACTGCCAGGGTTCGAGCCCACGACCTTCTGGCCACAAGGCTAGTGAGTTCGTAGACCGTTAAGCCACTGGGACCTGATCCAATGGGTAGCCAGTCCATGAATTCTAACTTCTGCCAATTCACGACATAGCGCCACTGTCACTGGCTAATATCTTCAGCGAGTATTTGTCCTCACACCCGACCACCTACTGCAGCCCACTGGTCACGACTTCTCACCAGAACTCCAGGTAACTACCCATCTGAATAGGAGAAGTCCCTAGTGAACATCTCATTGATATTCAAGTGTTGGTTTGTAGGGGTTTGATTGATTGGTTACAGGATTTCATCATGAGCTGACATTCATAGGCCATTGGATCAGGTCTCAGTGAGTGGCTGAATGGTCTATGAGCTAGCTCGCTTTGTAACCAGAAGGTCCTGGGTTCGAACCCTGGCAGTGGGCGGGTGCGTACTGATGAAGAGTCCCGAAGTAGGTTGACGAAACAGCTGTCCAGTACTCCCTGCAGATTTCCCAATGGTTCTCTAATCAATGTCGGCTCATGATGAAATCCTGTAAATAATAATAATAATAAGTGCAATAAAAAAATTAAAAAATTCACCAAAGTTCATTTGTTTATGCTATTTCAAAATAAGAATTAAATAAAAACCAAAATATTAAAAAAAAATTGTGTTAATTCAACGAAAATTTAGTCTTTCTCTCTCTCTCTCTCTATATATATATATATATATATATATATATATATATATATACATGTGACAGATTGTTGAAATGAGTTCAATGGATTCACTATACGATACACAAAACACATACACGCGCACATTACACAAACACACAATTAATGAATGAATCCATACCATTTCAAAATGAACTTTATTCAACCTTTGTAAATGTTTTGGCATCACCTAAACAAAGTCTAGACGTTATGAGTTTATTAGGTTTGTTATTTTCCTTACAAGGGGACTCTCTCTCTCTCTATCTTTCTATTGCCTCCAAAGCCTCAGAATGGTCGCGGGTGGGTGTCTTGCGCTGCGGGTTGACCACCCCTCCGCACACCTCTTGAAATGCTCTCATATGACCGGACGTCTTACATAGCCTCTCCTGAGGAAGTCCTACTCACTGCCTTCACGTGGCGGAGGTGTTTTTCA